CCTTTATAATGTTTGGAGGGAGTGTATCCAAGAGAGAAAAAAATAAAAAATAAAAGGAGGGTGTATGGTCAAAATGTTATTTTTTTTTTTTCAAATATTGTTAAAAGTACAAGTCTTATAATGGGTTAAAATTGTAAACCATGTTAGGCACTCCGATCCTCTTTTATATAAAATTTTGTTCAATACCTTATTTGAAGTTGCACTATTACATCGAAAGTTCAAGTGTGTTGCATTCTCAAAATAAAGTTTTTGCATTGTTGCATCTAGATATAATCTGCTATCTACTCTACTTTGAAGATGAAATGTTGGATTGAGCAGCAATCACACAGTCGCACTTAAAAGTAATAAATAAATATTGCCAAATAGAAGTAAATGTAAATGTTATAATAGAACAATGCAATTCTTCACGTTTTGAAAATGGTAAGTATGTGTATAAAATGGATAATATTTATATGAGTTGGGCAAATCGTGACAGATGGTATTAAAGTTATTTTTTTTATTAAAAATAAAGAGATTGTGAACAAGCTTATGCCAGTCAAAGCCGTTAAATCTCAAAAAAAGGATTTAAAAAGAGGGATTGTAACATTTCACATTATTTGATAAAAATTTTAAAAACCGTAAGTATAAATTAAGAGTGGGCAAAGCACAAACAGTGACGTCTGGTATCATCGAAAGAAAAACAGACAGTATCTTTAGGGCGTCTTCCAACACTTTTGCACCATATTTACCATCAAAAGTACGTTTGTAACATCATCACAAAACCAGTCAGCTAGCCCTAAGTGGGAACTGTCACTTTCACTCTCTCAGTCATTTTAGTACATTCCTTTATTAGAATTCTAATGTGGTATTAAAAATCCCAATGGTGAGAAAATTTGATCTTTTACTTTACCTTGCCATATTTGATTGCTATTCAGTCTTCTAAGGCAGTTTTTTTATTTTTTTATTTTTATTTTTTAACAGAACATTACAATCACGAACAACCAAAGCCAGAATATGAGCGGGAATATGCACAAGGGTTATATCTTGAGAAATATAATTCTTAAAAAGTTTAACTACAACGTGAACAATTTCATTATTATGCCTTCAAACATAAATAAAACGAGCTGAAAAAAAACTCATACCAAAAGAAATAACTTAATCATCCATAGGTATGAGTCAATCCCCATCATGCAGTGCATACGGAGAGAGAATCACGTTGAAACCACATAGAATTATAGGAATTTTGTGCCCTGTATTGCCTCCAAGCTTTGTGTGACTACTTTAGTGACACTTTGTTGTGACACCATTCTTAAAGGTCCCTAAAAACAGAGGCACTAAAATCTTGCAAAGTCATTCATATGTCTTTTAATTATTCTATCAAACAATCTGGGTCCCACACTAGTACGTTGTTCCATTTTGTTTGCATTATTATTATTATTATTATTCATCAGTTACATTTGAGGGAGGAACTGAATAACTATTTTACCGTCCAAGATCGCCTTGTTAATTGCCAAAAATTAAAATTAAAAATCCTACAAACATCTCCACACGAGTGGAGTGTCTCTTTTATAAGTCAAACAATTACAGCTTGATATCTCTGTTATGAGACAAACTACTGGCTTAGAGGAGTTTTTGCCATTTACATGACTTAAAATTTAGATTAAAAAAAATGAAATTAAGCAAAAAAAAAAAAAAAAAAAAAAAAAAAAAAAAAAAAAAAAAAGAACAGTAGACCTGTTCAAACCCTCTTAACTCGGTTTTAACTGAAACCACTTTAAAATCACACCCATTTAAAAAACACACACATACATGAAATTTTTGAGGTGGATGTATCATTATTCTTGCCTTAATCTCACTTAAACCCTTTGATGAGGTAGTGTGGAGTCTGATATATACTGTATACCAAGACTCAATTCTGCTGATCAACTTCATGACAAGTTGGCAAGGGACACCCCTGCTCGAAGGTGGAGGTTTGGGGGCTCGATCCCGATCTGAATTTTTTGAGGGATATTTTGGTAATTTTTGCATTTGTTATTGTAATTTTCGCACTTGTTATCTTACCATAGTGAAGGTATTTATTGATTATAAACTTTTTATTATCATAGTGAAATCCCTTCGACCCCTTAGACCCCTTAAACGTAGCGCTGAATTTTGTGTTTGATCTATTTTTTGTATTTTTTATATAATTTCACAATCCTCTAATAATGCCTCTGGTTTCCACATTCTTTGATTAGTGACCTCAATTTGCACCAAGGACCAGCCTAGATATATATGCGAGCCAAATAACTTTACCCTTTTTTCATGACTACAAAACTCAAACAATCACGCTTTTTTTTTTTTTTTTCAAAAAATAAGTATGCATAGAAGGAAAAAAAAAAAAAATACAAGTATGGAAGGGGTATTCCCCAAGGGACCATGTGCCCCTTTGTCCAAACAAAAGCAAAAGAAGAGGAAATAAGTCCAAAGAAAATAAATAAAAAATAAAAAGCAGTCCAAATTCATATTGTCCAAAATATTGGCCTAACGGGGATACCATAAAATTCAAAACCAATCACGTATTTTGAGGTGAATTAACTCTCAATTTTGTACTATTTATTGATTTAACCGTGACAAAATGTTATATATATATTTAACACGACAAAAATTTGGCTCATGGTGGTGGGTGAGTCAAAAAGAAGGAAAAAAAAAAAAACTTTTTTCTTGATTTGAGTGTGATAAAATATGGTCAATGGAGGCGTGTGAGCCAAAAAATAAAAAATAAAATAAATAAAAAAAGCCTCTCTTGAATTGACAGTGACAAAATATGGTTGATGGAGGTGGGGGAGCAAAATAATCTTACTTTGGGTTGATGCATGGTGACAAAGAATGCGATTATAAAGAAGAAAAGGAGAGCCCTCTGCTACTGCTTATGATTTGCCTTGTTGTCTAACACTTGGAGTTGAAGGCCATTCAAACGACTTAAAAGATTTGAGTGCCTCTTAGCTGCCTATCATATAGGAGATTCTAAAGTCGATCTTGCGAGACACACATCCATTTGGATTTGAATGGAGAGGATTTTGAATATTTATATGATCGGAACATTTGTTATAAGTGATATCAGAACAAAGTCTGTCTTCATCTTTCAAAATAAAGAGTTCAATGAGAATTCTATTGCAATGATATTAAATTTCCATCATAAACTAGTAGTGGGCAAAAACCCAAAAAAATAGAAAAAAAATTACCAGTATCTTTGCTATTTTTTTATTAAAAAAATAAGTAAGTTCTAAAAAAAATTTAAATCACTACAAAATCTTCATTTATACTTTGCTAAATAAAGGTAAAATTTTGTAATTATAAATTTATTCAAGAATTGATATATAAGTTTTTTTTTTAAAGTTCGTGTCTAATTTTGTAAGGGTATATTGAAAGTTTAAGTTTTATATCTTATTTAGCAATGGTATAAAAAAACAAATTTAGTGATTGACGTAGGACATAATTCTGAACAGTTCTATAAGTTCATTTTTTTTCTAGAATTGAGTGTTTTTTTTTTTTTATAATGTATTGAGAAAAACTCACTAGTTTTAGCTTCTGAGTCAAACGGGCCTGTTTGGCTAGTGCTTTGCTTTGTGTTTTTTTACTTTTACTAGTATAATGTAGCGAAGCAAAAGTACGAATAATGTTTGGTAATATTTGATATGCTTTTGAATAGTACCAAAGTGCTTCCAAAATTGTGGCCAAAATCGAAAGTATCAAAATGATGTTTTTGTTTGCTTCTGCACTGTAGCAAAACACTATTCAATTTTTTTATTTTTTATTTTTTTATTTTTATTTTTATTTTTCTAAAATAACAATTTTAACTAATTAATCATTCAAATTTTCAAACTTGCAACACTTTTTACTAAACATGTTTTTATGTTTTTGCTTCTAAAAATTTTGTAACAAATTTACGTTACCAAACAAGCTTCTAAATAGTGTTGAACACACTCTAAAAGTATAAATATTACTTCTACTTCGGGTCAAAGCAAAAGTACAAAGTAACTGTCGTTGCCAAACGGGCCCTTAGTTTTTGGCTAAAAATCGTCATTTAGGATTTCGAAATCACATTTTATTATCTTATAAAACAGGACTTTATGTTAAAAACATTCATTTAGAATTCTGAAATCGCATTTTATTATTTTAAAAAACAGGGCTTCATACTGAAACTCTTCGTTTAGGATTCTGAAATCGCGTTTTATTATCTTAATATCTCTAAATTATTGGTTCTAAATAAAAAATTTAGGACTTATTTGTCTTTTAATAAGAAAAATAAGATTTATGTTGACTTTTTAATAAAAATTTACCCCTACAATGAAAATTTTGTTATAAACTAACAAGATATCCACTTGTAACCCAAAAATATGGATATGCTCATCGTGACCAAGCTGAAGGACTTGGACTTGAATTCTCTCTTTTTCTTTATCTCTATCACGTGCGCGCTAATAAATTGGATGGCTATTCAATAAACTACATTGTAACACCAAAATATATCATATTATACTCAAGCAACATATCATATTATGTTATAAAATTACAAGTTACAACTTTATTAGATTAAAAATTCAATATATTTATATAATTGGTGTTACATCATGGATATTGTGATCTAGACGCGCAAAACAGATACAAAAAATAAATAAATAAAAATAATAATAATAATAATAGTAATTAATACACCAGAGGATTCAGATTCCAATGTTGATAATTTATGTTCAAAAGTTTTGGACCAAGAAGTGATTCGAATCATTAAAAAAATAATTGACCGTCCCTACATGAAAAAATAATTCACCATTTCCAAATAAATAAATAATCTATAAGATTTCAGACTCATAATTGGAAGAAGTTTGTCCACTTCGAGAATGAGATAGAGTGTCATTATATATATATATATATATATATATATATATATATATATATACGGTGCAAACAATTAATATTATAGCCATTGAAGAATCCAATAAGCTCACTTTAATATATAGTGCAGAATGAGATGATTGACTTGATTAATATTAAAAAAGCAAAAAGCAAGCACTAATTAATGCCCAATGACGTGCACATAACTAAGCACTCAAATCATGTTATTAAAATTAATATATAAAACTTGTTACACTGATGATTCAAAGTCACTACTATTTCTATTCTCATCAACCTTTCCACTAACACTTCCAAACACGAAGTCAAGGTTGTAAAGCACTGGGACCATAGTGACTGAACACAAGAACACTAACACAGGCCCAAAGATCCAAAGCAGAAGCGGAAGCGCTGCGTAGAAAAGCCGATTCCCGACCGTGTTCAGCACGAAGCCCTTCTCAAGAAGCTCATACACGTACTCCGGTGTGATCACCATGCACGTGTGGTCCATCGGACAGTTTATGAGGAAGTTCACCTGGTTCACAAACCTAATCGAGAGAGAGTGGCACAGGAACGAAAACAGGAAGATGAGCAATAGTGTCACGTATTTTAGTGCCGCCATGAATTCACCATGAGCACCGTAGATGGTGTCGTTGAGCGGCTTTTTGATGCTGTAAGTACTGCTTATGACGGCAGCCAAGCCCGAACACAGAAGGATGGATGTAGTCGCCATTAAGGTCGACCCCATGATCGTGTTTCGGATGGTTTGGACGGCCAGTATGTTTTTCTTGTCATTGTCCTGCACAGGGAATTTTTTTTTTAGGAAATGTCGACATGCATGATCCAAAAATTAAGGACTTTGTCACTGCTTTTTTTGGTGGTGGCTCTCAATTTTTTCCTGATTGGGATAGCAATATTAAACATTTATATATCACATATAGTGGCTTACATTGTGGCCTACAATGCACAAAGTATCATCATGTCATAAAAGTTGTCTATAGACATGGGACTATTGTGCATGCAAATGTTGAAAGCTAGTCAGATCCTAATTAGATATTGCAAACACAATATGCCTTCCTACACACACAGTAGGAAGGCATCGTGTGTGTTTCCAATATCTATATATGTATCTATTAGTAAATGAAATATATATATCCGTACAAGTACAAATATACATGGGTTCAGTGCCCAAGGCTCCAACTGTTGCGGGATCCAAAAAGGATCAAATATATATATCCATATATATATATATATATAGCCAGTCTTTTTTCTTATCTGGGTTCAAATTGGTTCTTAAGAATTCATATTTAGAATAAAGTAGTACATGCACTTCAAAATCCTACATTTTGGGGTTCCTATAATGGATTGGTCGCATCCATGGTGACAGTGCTCATTATGTGACCAAAAGGTAAATTCAGAGAGGGTAGAACCATCATTTTAGAATAAAGAATCCGTATTTTTATGAACAACATATATACCCATTTATTGATAAAAATAACAATTAATTTAATCCTTCCTTAACCGACCACCATATATAGTCCTTGAATGTGATGCTAAATTACACAATGATTGTTGGTATATCTCACTTCAATCAAGATATTATTACTCGTAAATATATATATATATATATATATATATATATATATATATATATAATACACACTTATAGATGTTAAACCTGGACATAACTTTAATTTTTCAAATTCAAGAAATATTTTTTTATGCATAATGAGTTATAACTAAACCATTTGCTCTTTATATAATACATACATACATACATACATACATACATATATATATATATATATATATATATATATATATATATAAGCTTAGGAAAAGTACTACATGGCTTTGATTTTTTCAAATTCAAGAAATAGTTCGTATTCATAATTAGGTTCTTATAACTAAACCATTAGTTCATCATATATATCTATCTATATATATAAAATATATGTAGTGCTGGATTAATTGTAAGTTTGCAATCAAATGTCACAGCATTAATTACATGTAAACAGGAATGTATATATATGTATATATATATATATATATATATATATAGTTTACCTTGATGATAGCTGAGACCCACATGCGTCGTCCACTGGCATTTGTGCCAATTATAGTCGTCATCGGTTGGGTTCGGACCTTGTGCCATAACCAAACATGGTAAGCCACAGTTATCAATAAACCCAATGGCACCAATATCACATCCAGATAACATTTCTTCCATTCCATCTTTTTTGTTTTTCTTTCTCTCTCCAGAACACACACACACTCTCTCTCTCTAGGCACCTTAATTTGCACTTCTTCTCTATCTAGTTAGCTATCTTCTTTCTGGTGTCTGACCAGCTTGGCTATATATATATATTACGATATAAACAGTAAGAAATATGTATATGGACCTCTTTCAATGCAACATTCAACCATAAAAACTACGGCAGAGTAAAGCAGATGACTACTTTCTTACTAAATTAGAGACACGGCCTAATTCTGGAGTTATCTTTCTTTTTTTAAAGCCCTCTCGCCTCTCGGTTTACAATTATATGCCTCTGCTGTTGGTATATTTACCAAAATGGTACTCAACAGGAAAAACAAACTCAGAGACAATAAAATGACCAAACGAATTTTATATATATAACCCGATAGTATCATTGTCATCACGTGTCAATAATTTTATAGTTGTAACAACTATAAACATGTACTGCATCCTCGCAAAAATTTAAGTTATTAGCTAGTATTACTAATTTATTCTTTTAATTTCAAAACCCTCTATTATTTCATGAGGAAAAAAAAAGTTATGTGTCACGTAACTAGTGATATTTCTTACTTATACCGAAAACGTATAGTGAATCATATTATTATTTTGAATAAAAAAAATAATAAAAAAAGAGCAATACGGGTCTCGTGAATCATAAAGACAAACCTCCTCGCATCCTGATGTGTGGAGGAACTTTTCTCCTTATTGCTTAACTTTTGAAAATGTTAACATTAAAATTAGAGTAAGTGAGGAAACGGGTTAAAATTATGTGAAAAATTGGTGACTTTTTTTTTCATAAATTAAGATAAAGTACTAGAGCTATTTAAAGCTTATATATATATATATATATATATATATATTACAAAGAATTATGTAACAAGTACTAGTATTTCCTAAAATATTATTACCAAGAAAAAATAGAACTACATGTCTGTCACTAAAGGTGAGACATGAATATGTATACCAATATATATACAAACAATATACATAGCGAAAATAGAGAAGAATGCAAAAAATGGAATGGCATGTTCGCAATTTGGATCAACTGCAAGGTCAAAAGTGTAGAATGATAGGTGGGAACATAGTGAAAATCTGACTGGGCTGCTTTGGCTTGGAAAGATGTGGAGGAGATAAGAGGTGGCCATCTGGAGCACTCGCATGCCATTTTCATGAGGCCTCAACAAACCCACGTTAATGGAGAGAAGTGCCGTCAGCAACTTTGTAACGTATATTCCAATTTCCAATACGCGCACATATACATTACACACACATTACACACACATATATATATATAATATATATATATGAATTTGCCATATATTGCGCCTCCCGCACGACAGTGGTGCCATACACGTGTGCCTAAAACCCGTTATCTTAATTGCAAATATGTTCGTTCAATTCTTTATATGAATAGTGGGCACTCGTCTTTTCTTAATTGCTCTTCATTTTACTTGCTTTGGGTGTTATACTTTGTGTTCGAATTATTTAAGTTTGTATTTGACATAATACAACTAAGATTTTGCTTAAATGTTAGGTCACAAATTTATAGGTTAAGCCGCCACGGAAATCAATTATAGTATTTTATTAAGTCGAGAGTTATCCTAAGTCATTTAAAAGACAAAAAAACCGAATTTTAAAAGAAATTAATACATGCCCCCAAAGATTTTTTGGGCCAGCCCTTGAATAGATGATGGAAAAATCATATCCCAAACCACCAAAAAAATTCAGTAATATAATAGAGGATAAACTGCTCTTGGAGCCGCCAAAATATTTCGAATTACTCAAAGAGTTCCACTGAAAAAGTATTAATTAGAGTATCTTTTGCTTTTCATAAAAATATTAATGTAAGCAAAGAAAAATGAATTTACAATTTTACCCTTAAGTCAATTTGAGGGATTTTAGAAATCTAACTTTTCTTTCTCTACTACTCCACCACCACTCTCACACTCTTTCTTCTCTACCACCATTGTCGCCGCCTCTCTCATTTCAACCGCCGTAACCATTGTCGTTACCCTTATGCATTCCCTTTCTTCCCACTATTGTCCCTGCATCTTTCTTCTCTCGACCACCACAACAATTTGTTGTCGCCCCCGCACACTATCTCTTCTATCCACCACAATTACTATCACTCCCAATGTAGGTTTGTGGAACCCTAACCTTCTATCTCTCTCTATATATTTTGTATCGTGTACTAGACTTTTTTGTATCACAGTGTATGTGAATATATAACATGAGAGAGTTGGTTAAAACGTCTCGGGTTAAAGATGAGGATCTAAGAGGGCTTTCTTATCCTAACTCCAATTAGATAGAGATAGAGTTATCTATCATATCTAATTAATTACAATAAACACCACAATATAGATAAAATTAAAATATGTAATCATGTTCAATTTCCTTTGAATTAAACCTTAAAGTCAAGTATAAAGTGCAAAACTTATGGTTTTTAAGGGAAATAGTATAAAAGAACTCGCTTTAGGATTTTCGGATCGAAAATCAAACCGTAAACTTCTCCAACTCCGACAACCTTAAATTAGTTGCTCTACCTTCTCCTTCTTTATCTCTCAACTCTTTCCTCTCTCTTGATTATACGTACAATACTAACCCTGATAATAATGATTCTAAATAAATATATATAATTATAATTATAAAATAAAATAAAAATCCATATAATATAGTATATGGGCTTATATAATAAATATACTATAGGGGCTTTAATTCTGATACAACCCAACAAGGCCCTCCAAATAAGCTAAACCCAAATCCTATGGTCCAACTATATAAAAACCCAACCTATTGAAAAAAAGTAAAATAAGTAAAACAATAAATAAAACAAATAATTACAATTAATAACACATAATAACAATTAAATATACCTTAAGCACATAAGTCATATAATCAAACAAATAAACAAATAATTTATACCTAATTAAATTAACCAAGGCAATTAATCAATAATATCAATTAAATATAAATAAAGGTAAATAAAATAAATAAACTAATTAAATACAATAAAATAAATCCTTTAAAATATAGAGGTATTATAGTCTGCCTGAGAGGTGTCTGAGTTTCCGTCAAATAGAGAGGGTGACTCAATCGCATTCGTCGAATAGACAAAGTGACCCCTTCGCAACGAGAAATTATAGGGTACCCCAGGGGTGCCACGTCAGGGCCACTAACTTGTACCCCCATCCAATAGAATAATGTCATATGTCATATTTTCAAAATATTCCATATCAACCAAAACAGAGAATCAAATAGAGAGAAAGTTAATACCGTTTACACGAAATCCATGAAAACAGAAATCCCGCCCAAAATAATGGCGCCCAAAAATCTTCTCCCCAAACCCAAACCCAGAGAGTATAACAAAATATTTTACTCCATCCCACCCAAAATTCTTCTCTGACCGAAAAAAAAATTAGAAGAATTTTGTGTGAAAGATTTACAGACAAATCCTACAACGAAGAAGTTATCGGAAGAGGTATGACTTTACCAATCATTATTCTATCTTCTCCCATCACTTTCTTTTAATTTTGTGAAAATCTAAAATTACTGCTATATTATATTTCTAATGGACTGCGTTTATTCTTTTTGTTCTATGTGTCATACCAGACACCAGTCATCTGTTTTGTTGATTTATGTATTGATCTTTGCTTAAATAATACTAATAATGAGAATTAATTGAAGTGTTAAAAAAGTAATAGTATTTGCAGGTCATATCAATAGTAAAAATAGTAGTTTGATAGAATCTGATTTTTTAACTTTAGGATGTAATAGTAAAAATATTATATCAACCAACATTCTACCTTGGAAAGATGGAATATGTATAACTTGTTTGGAATTAGGTTGTACTGTAAAACTTGTTTATATGTTTTTGTAAATACAGCTTTCTTATTGTAAATATGTTTTGTGATTTTAATAGGCAACTTATCAAAATGGAGTCATCAGCTTCAGAGTTGTTGAGAAATGAAAATGGAGATTTTAACGAACTTAAAATTGGAATGAAAGTTTTTAGTGATGATGAAGTATATAGATTGTACTGTGAATATGCTTTGAAGAAAAGTTTTAGTGTTCGAAAAGGAAATTATCGACATGGAAGTGGTGGAGTAATCAAGCAACGTGAATATTTGTGTGCATTTTTAGGACATTATCTGTGATACCCCTTAGATCCGAGACACGGGTTAATCAGGCCCAGGCCCAAACCCGAGGGATATCAAACAATTAATATGTAACCGAACACAGAATACAAGATAAGATAAATAATAATAATAAGCTGGAAGAATACTAATTGAAATCCTCAAAATATAATTATTGAAATCTGTTAAATCTAAACTCCAAAACTCCATAAGTTACAACTCGGGAATCCATTCAGTGGACCCCTTATTAAAATCCCAAAAGAAACTAAAATATCTGAAATAAAAGCTAAAGGTAAACATAGCAAAGATTCCTACGTAGTCGGAGGAATGAATGTCTGTATCTGCTCTGCACGTCCAAGCTCTAACCCTGGAACTAACGAACACCTGAAAAATAAAAGAGTGGGTCAGGCCCACATGCAAGTCATATTCTACTACGATCCAAACAGTAATCCGATAAGCAGATACATCCTAGGAAGACTCAACAATATCTAGAGCAGTCCATATGTATATATATAGTACACACTATAGGACGCTCGCTAGTCCAGTAGGACTGTCTCAGCCTGAGTAGAAATACCATGCAAAACGCACATAATGTGGTCATGTGTACCTAAACCTACCAGGGAACAACACCTATGTCCAGTTATCCATTCTAGGCAATATACGCGCCCTAACCATGGTCTTGAGACTCAAGCTCATACCATGGTACCATATAATAAATATATAAAGTCCGTACTCCTCCTAATACAAAATATAATCTATCTGTGTAGTGGTCTAGTATATGTATAATCATCCGTCCTGAAACCATATTAAGTCATCCAACTATTTTGTTGACCTGACACAAGTAGGTAATGGACTTAACCTATATGGTTAATCCGTACCTTAATCCAAATTAGGCAGGACTTAGTATTTGAACTAGTTCATACCTAGTATGTCACCGTCCCATACCGGTACATACCATTCTCCAATTAATACAGTTGACAACACAGTAATAGATAGTCATCAACCATACCCCAGAAAAACATACATACAGTCTAATATGTTTATGATTAAAATACACATCCAATATAAGATTTAGAAACTCTATTACAGTCCTTCAAATTCATAAAATAGGATTACG